TGTGCTCTTCCGATCTAACTCTTATCTCAAAAACTACTGCTTAAGATAAAAATTTACAAATAACTTTTTTACTTAATTTTTCAAAGACTTTAATGCTGTGATATTTTTATTTACAAATTTCGGGACACCCTGTATAAAAATCGTTGATGATCGAGAATTAAAATATTCTCCCATTTAAAATTATAATTAAACTGATAATTTGACAACTTAATAGACGGAGTCTTAATAAACTTGGCAACATTTTTTTTGAGTTTTTTTAGGAGATTATCCTTGTGTACTTTAATGTACCTGCCGAGTCTTAAACGTGGCAAGTACATTAAAGCACACAAAGATGATCTCTCAAAAAACTTAAAGAAAAATGTTGTTTATAAAATGTGTTATAAAGATTGCAATGTTTTTATATTAGCCAAACTTGTAGAAAATTAAAAATGAGTATATCTGAACATCGTAAGCATATAGATATATTGGAATATTATCACCCATTCGATGATCATTGAACATAGAATTAAATTTAATCATGAGTTTAATTAGGAGAACATTTTAAATTCTTGACCAGGAACGATTTTTATATAAACGACGAATCTCTTTACGAAGTACTATATCCGAATGCAAGACAAAATAGTCTAAATTTACAATTAAATCTGGTACCGATTACTTGCACTATATTTATACTTCTATTTTAGATAATTTATAGGAAGAATTTAGATGTGTTTCTTTTATCTTGTAAATTTATGCGAACTTAAAATTTTTGATGTATGATTACTCTTTTTTACTTTACATAATTTAATTAATTTTACAGTTATGACATCACACTGTTTGCTTTTGTCTTTATCGTTTTTGACTTTTACATTACTAGTCAATTTAGGGGAGACCGGGGCTGATTGATACAGTTTTTTTTACATATAACTAATAAATAAAATAAATACCGCAAAGATATTTTTCAATAGCCACATGCTTCAATAACATAGAATTTATTTTTATAATTTACTAATATAATTAATTTTGTTGTATTAATGGAAAATGTAAAGTGATGCAACTTGTAACAACTGGCTCCATATGCAGGTCAATTGTTACAATTACTGGAATCAGTCGTTACACATCCAGATTTCAAAATATAACGCATTTAATTGAAGGAAATAAAGAAAATTGTGCATAACTTTATTTATAATTTTCAAATAAAATATACACATTAATGTAATATTAATGATATAAACATAAATGTTTATCAGTCTTTCTCTTACATATAATAAATCACAATGGAAAAAAATATAAATATAAGATTGCACTAAGGAAAGACTACAGAAATCTAACATTATTTTAAATTTGTTTCGGTTTAAAATAAAAATAAACCTTGTAACAACATACCCTGTCACAACCAGTCCCGACTTATCATATTTATACATTTTAATTGTTGCTTAAGCAAAAAATATATTTTAAGGCGTTAATATAACTATAAGTTATTACTTATAAAGTAGAGATTCTAAAATAGTTGGAACTATAATATAATAAGCAGGTTTATAAATATAACATTTAATATATCACTGATTTATTTTACTTTTGGCTATCAAAAACTGAAATTATTTTTTATTTCTGAAAATATGCTATTCAGTCAAAAATATCTTATGTAAATATCAGCATGACTGCAATGTTTTTGCGGAAATATTACATTTTTTATATAATATTACCGTTTGTCATTTTGCAGCAATTTTGAATGTATCAACATGCCCCATGTATCAACCAGCATCGGTCTCTCCTATTTATATTTAGCCATGTATGTTTGTTGTTTTATTTACATTTTATACATCATTTTATGTTTGAACCTTTCCGACGTAATGTATTATATTAAAGTCAAACGCATGTCAGTTCTTATACTGATATATCACGTATTTTTCTACGTCTATTGATTTGTCAAATTATCATGATTGAAATTGCGCTACCTTTTTATTTTTTTAAAGCTTCATTTTGATTTTTGTTTTGCTTTGGATGAATCATGATTTCTAAAATAATTTTGTTTAGTTGAGAGACCCGATAGATTTAGCAAATATACAAATCCTTTCAGAAGAAATAATCTAACAAGTGTTGTTTCTTTCTCAATTGATTCCACTTCGGATTTGGTAACCGCAAGTGACTCATCTATTTTTAGAAACGGGATTAATTATCGTATTCTTATGAAATTGTACTCTGAGGATGACTCCAAATAGAGTCGAAACGTTCGTTTGTAATGTATTTATACTCACCTAATATGAACATTTAATATTTTCAAAATACATATATTTGAGTACTAACAACCGTTCGGTATTCTCATTGGTCTTACTTTAATTTGTATTTAGTGATTAATATATGACATAGTATCATTTACTGTTTTATAAATTGGCTTTTTTTCTCAAATTTGTGATATTGCATCATTAGCTTTTGTTTTTTTGAAATAAGAATCAAATAATTAAATTTTACAACACGTTTTTTCGTAGGTACTGTGTAATAAATGTTGCAGTATGAAATACAGATTAGAATACCAGGGAAATATCGATTCCCGTGTTTGCGTCTCATGTTATCATCTACTCACGAAAGGTAAGAAGAAATAATCTTAATAATAAGATTAATGTTTGGATGTCCTAATATGATTACCTAAAAAAATATGTTATGGTGTTTCTTGGAATAAAATGGAATAATCTTTTTCTTTTGCAAAAATTTAAATATAATGTATCTTATATTCTTTAGTTATTTAATTTTTTAGCAAAAATTTGGTCAACAAAAAATATAGCAATACACATTTTTTTACATAAAAATTAATTTCTTTGTGTTTCCATATAAAAATATAAAATGTCATAAAAAAATTAATTAAATATATTTTATATTTTAATTTAATACCTATATTTTGATATAAAATATCTTGAAACAATTTTTGATGATATATTTTTGTATGTAGAATATTGAAAGAAATCTAAATATGTAAATGAATTTATGAATTCAATCAATAGCAATTAACGTTTTGTACGAATAAGACTTTTGGTTTTTATTGATCAAATCTCATTTGTTAAAAAAATTGAAAAAGGAAGAAATTATGCATTATTTAAATATATGTAAGTGGAAAAATTGCTTTATTTTAAACACTGTAGTATACTTTCAAAATCACTTTAGGATAATTGAATCTTTGATTTGATTAAACATTTAAAATAAATATTTTGTATAGAAAACTAGTAATTTTTTAATTTTTTAAATATTAATATAAAATGCTAAGTATCAAGATAAAGAATCTCTCTCTCTCTCTCTCTCTCTCTCTCTCTCTCTCTATTTATCTTTTGTATAAAAAAATCTATGTTTTAGTATTAAAAATATGTTTTGCATTTTTAGCAGAGAGCGAACAGGGAATAGGTGATTGGTCAGCCGATTATAATACATATACCGATTGTAGCGATGTTAATTCCGTACAGGTATGTTATTTATTTGTAGATTGAATTTTTTATCAACAGTTGTAACAAAGCTGTAGAAACAGCTATAGAAGTCTCTTTGAAAGCATTGCTTGTTTGTTAACTTAAAAAAAGAAGTTATTTAAATTTATATTAACAAATTACTTATGATTTATTTACTGAATAATCCTAACCTTTTAAGCATAATTACATGAACATTAATATAATCTAATTAAATACCTATAACAATTTGTTGAATACTTCTGTTTAAATTTTATATTTTACTTCTGCAGACAATTTATATATATAAAAAACAGATTAAATTAACGAATATTTTGATATAAAAAAATTTTATTACGTTATAATATTTTTATTTATTAATAGGGAATGATAGGTCAGTCAAAACTATTTTTTTATTTAATTAGAAATCTGACAAATGCTTTGTCAAATTTATAATCTTTTTTTAATATAGTATGTAAATAAAAAAATTAAAAAATAAATTTATTTTTTAAAATACAATACATATTGATGTTTTGCACACAATTTTATAACAGTTTACATAATATAATCGCTTGAATATTCTTGTTGTATATTTCTTTACTTAATTATTTAGTGTAATGATTTTAAATCATATGTTAATAAAGAAAATCCAGAGAATTTGATCTGATTGAATATTTAATAAATACATATATTTCAGATAGTTTTATAATACCGAAAAAATAAATATTTAATTAAGTTATTCAATTCAAGACACGGAAAAGATACATATTTTTATCAATTATATTTAATAAACATTCTGTTTGCAACGCATATTTTGTGTTGAGTTACATTGTAGTAGTATGTATGATTTACAGCTTCTCTTGAGTTTTGAATACTTTTTATTTGTTTTTAGCAGAGTATGCATGTTATTACAAAAATAAAGCATGTTTTTTAGAGTTATTACGCAATAAAATATAGTTTGCTTTATATCGTGATTATTTCTGGAGTCCAGCAAACACAAAGCATACACTAAAATAAATAGCATTACAATCAAATTTTAATAAAATTAATATCCGCGATAAAATTTGATTATATGTTATTATAACAGAGAAGGCAAAAGTAATACAAAAATAGCAACACATGTTTAAAATTTAAAATAGTCTTTAAAAATCGATTATTTCTTAATTATTTCTTAATATTAAATAAAATAATAAAAATATCTATAGCTACAAATATCAATTCTTTTTTAGAATTATAGATTCCTTTTATCAACATTATTTTAAAATATATTAAAAAAACAATATTTGTTATAAAAAAACTATTTCTTTTTGTATACTTAATAAATGTGTTTGCTGAACAATTGAACAAATGCCGAATGTTAGAAGTATTCGACAAATGGTTATAGGGGAGACAGCCTAATCCAAATAATCCCATGGAGTATTGTTCAACTATACCACCCTTGCAACAGTTAGCCGGCGGTTTGCCGCCACCGCCAACGGTGATGGTACCTGTAGGCGTTCTGAAGAGAGAGGGTTCGAAACATCGTGCAGAAGGACAGAAATCCGTAATGTTCAGTGATGGTACGTAATTATTGTTTACAATTTATTAATGTTATTGATGTTCTTAATGATTTCTTTTTCCTCTTTTTTTCTTATTAATGTTAGATAATTTTAAAATAATTATCTTTATTTTATAATAAATATAAATAGATACATTAGACTGTACTTATAATATATTTATATATTTTATATATTTTGATTACAATTTCTATACATATATTGTAAATTCATGAACACATTGCAGATTTTTATGTTTCAATATGTCGAATATAATATACATGATTTGTTATATGCAATTATTCTACAGAATAAGTTTGATATTTCTGTCATCAGACGAGATCTTATGTCTTTAAAGTCTTGGTAGATGAATAATAAGAAATTAAAATTATTATTAAAATAAAATTAGAAGTTGAGATTGAAGACCATTATCCTGGAAAAAAGAAATTCAAGTTCAGTATTATAGTTGAGATGATAAATATTGTGACAAATAAAGAGAATACAAATAAAGAGCGATTTATAAAATGCTTCAGTATTATCTGTAATATTGGCAATATTGCATACGAATTTAGTAGTATTGAAATTGTATTTTTATATAAGACTATTTCAAAATCGTTTAGTAATCGGCGCGTTGAATAGGATATAAGGCAAATATATATAATTTGTAAACTATTGTTAGACATAACTCCTACATGATGATCGAAAAATGTCAAATTTTTTAATTACATGTACGCATATATCGGTTACTATTTACTTAGATACACTTATTCCCTAAATCATATATATGGTTTCTGCATTATATTTTTTGTTTTGTTTCGTTTCTGTTATTCCTTTGTCCAGTATATCCTATATAAAATTATTAATTTAATAATTTAATGCGAAATTATTAGTTATTTTTGCCTCTCTGAAACATGTTAGTACGTTGTCAACTCCCTCTTCCTCAGCCCCTCCTGTTTGTTTTATTTTTACGCACCTATAACTAAAACACAGGAATAAGGCCTGGCTGTGACCTGACAGAGCTAGACACGTGTTGGGACCCAAAACCACCATATCGTAAGCAAGGAAATAAACGGATTTTTGCATCGGGATCTACGTTGACGGACACTGCAACGAGAAGGCAAAACCATCCTCCTCTAGACAATATCACCAATAGCTACATACCACATGATTCTAATTTATTGCCTCCGACCGTTACGATACATAAAGGCCGTAAGGATGTCATTATATATGAATTATTCGTAATTGCAGTAATATATCACTTTATTTTCTTCCTTTTTTTTTGGAAATAGAAATTACATACCACCCACCTATGGACGAAAGTGTACTATATAAAACGCTGAAGAATGAATGCGAACCGTCAGTAATGTTCGCAATTAATCGAAATCTTTACGCATATGTAAAAATAACTAATTGTAAGTATAAAGAAATTCATTGCTAGTATATCTGTAAGAAGTCTTATTTATATAATTTGTAGTAAATTGCTGCGTAAACAAGATCTGCTGGAATGTAACATCGAAAGGTCTTGCTTGCATTGGTCAGGATGAAGTTATTTTATTAGTCGAAGTTTTACCAGATGAAACACGGATTCCAAAGGACCTTCTTATATACATTAATCAATTATATCTTGAAGCTATTAAAGGTAAATCTCGTGCGCGCGCGCGTGTCAATTATAAAGGAGGGTATAAAATTGAGCTTTTGGAATTGCAAAGCGATCGAATAAATCATACGTATTTTTACGTATTTTGAGTCGTAGAATCCGAAAATGACCATAAAAATTATGCCTGCTAACGAAAAAAAACGGAAAATAAAGGAAAATGAAAAAACGTAAAATTGTTAAAACTCCTGGATGTAATTTTCTTACGTTTACTTTTGCATTTTCTTGCATATTTTGAGTCGTAAAATCTCGAACCAGCTATCTTTTGCACACCCTATACATATCTGCTCAAGATATGTATAGGGTGTGCAAAAGTTCCGGCCTGGCAAAATATCTCGAGAAACAGTTTTTTTTCACGAAAAAAATGTTTGAGATAAAAGTTATAAGACTTAAAAATCTATTTCTTTTGTCAGTTTAATTAGTTGCGTTGCCGAAGGTTATCTTAAATTTTTCAAGTGCATTATTCTTTATATTTTTTATTACACATATTTATAGCCGTTTTTTTGAAACTTTCAAAATGTTTTAATTATATTCACATTACATCAGTCGTCAAAATTATCGAGGTATTTAATATAAAATGTCCAATCAATGAAGGCAAAATTGTTGATTGATCCAGTCAACGAAAGCAAAATCATTGGTTGATCTGGTCAACAAAGGTAAAATCGTTGGTTGATTCAGCCAACGATCAAAGATATATCAATGTATTTAATATCTTGAGTGTCTCTAGATAGCTGATTCGAGATTTTGTGACTCAAAATATGCCAGAAAACGTAAAAGTAAACGTAAGAAAATTACATCCAGGAGTTTTAACAATTTCATGTTTTTTTCTCATTTTCTTTTATTTTCCACATTTTCCCCGTTACAAGTGTAACTTTCATGATTATTTTCGGATTCTATGATTCAAAATACGTAAAAATACATATGATTTATTCGCCTTGCAGTTCCAAAGTTCAATTTTATCCTTCTTTACTTGATACTTTAATCAATATTTATACTTTGTATTGCAACAAATTATTTTTATCAAGTGTTTTTCTAGGTAATACAATGACAGAACTTGGCTTCTCAGTATATCAAGGTACCAACTTGCTAAGTTCACGTGAGCATGCAGGATTTCTTTTTATTCGCCAGACATTGCAATGCTTACAAAAGATTATTTTACCGCCTGCACCTTTCTTAATCGGACTCTTGATTCACAGGTGAATATAATAAAATTTTGCAATTATACAGGGTGTCCTATTTTATATTTGATAGTCCAACGTCTGGAAATAGAATTTTAGAGACAAAAGTTGTAGGGTTTTGAGGGGAAGATAGTATGATGGCCTTGAATTGTCCTTGCATGGTATATATGGAGTTATTTTAATTTATAATTTTTTATCTTTTAAATTACACAAAAGCCGAAGATAAGACCTTCATAAATAATTATTATATCGTAACAATATTACCTGAAAAATTGTAGTCCAATCGGAGGGGGTCCCCACTCGGAACTACAGCCCAAAATTAGAAAGAGCGTTTAATTCTACGTAAAAAAGTATTATAACATTTTTTAGTCTAAATTTATTATTGAAAGAAATATTTTATGAAAAAAGATGAAAAACTTTACTGAACGGTATGCATGTACGTTGCTCTATTCTCAATCAAATCTAGGATTACAAACAAAGACATAAAAAAGCAATTCTGTGCATGTGCGTGCGTGCGTCTACGTCCAGAGCAGGACTCAATAATTTGTTATTCATAATCAGCTATTTGTAAAATTTCAATTTAATAGGTATTCAATATTGGTACCGTTAATTGTGATATAATCTAATTCTCCGACGAAATTCTTTCAATGTCAGTAACACATTACAAAATTCTTTTAATGTCAATAACACATTACGTGGAATACTGTGACAAACATTTCTTATTCGCATTTTCATGTCATCTCTTGTAGCTAAAACGGCTATGATGCGTGTGTTTAAATGATTTTCATTATAGCGCCTTCTGACTCGATAAATATTCATTCATCTAACTCGTTTTTCATCTATCTCGTTTAATAAAAATCACCTGAAATGAAGAATGTCTATGTAGCTATCTTATTTGATCTTGCAGCTGTATGATAATTACGTTAACATTTAGTATCAAGATTATATCAACAATTTTGTTCCAAAAATAGTCGACTATAATATTTAATTTTAAATAATGCCTACATGATTCTTTTTATAGACCGGTCGTTCTGGTTAAGATTACTCCCTTTTATTTTGTATACACAGTAAAGTTTTTTTTTTTATGAACTACTTAAATAATGAATTTTGACTAAAAGCATTCTAGTACTTTTTACGTAGAACTGAACGCTCTTTCTGATTTTATAATAAAAAAATATTACTTACTAATAATTTCAATATCATATAAAAAAAAATAAAGTTAATCTTCAAATGATTGTGAAAAAAACACCATATAAGAGCAATTCAAGGTTATTATATTATATTCTTCTGGAAACTCTACAACTTCTGAATCATTTACAACTCTGAGAATTATTTTTCTCTAAAATTCTGCAATTTCCAAATATTGGACTGTCAGATATAAAATAGGACACCCTGTATATTCGGATTTTGTATTCTATCCAAATATGGTTCTGTGTTGTATCTATTTGTTACTATTTGAACATTTTTCTGATACAAGTATATAAAATTTGACTTTTGATACAGTTTATCAATTAAGCAAGAAGTTTTTATTATAAATCTGTGTTGGTTATTTTTTATTTTTTATTTTCATTTTATTAAATATTTGTGTATTCCTACACTTTTACAGAAAAAGAAAAGTATTTCACTTTGGTATCTAAACAAGGAAATGTAGTATCCAACTGCGTATATCATTACATTTAAAAAAATTTTCTTAAAAAATTTGTCAAAAACTTTTTATAATTTTAATTTTTAAATATGTAATATTTGTTATACATAGACATGTTTATTTTATGTTCTCGTGTAATTCGAATATATTAATATATATTTCACACTCATATATATATATATATATAAGTAATTTGGATGTTATTTTTGTAGATTTGTATTCATACAAAAATAATTATTTTGAGATAGTATACAATAAATTAATTTCTTTAATTATATCTTTTTTTTACGTCTGCAACTGTATACAAAACTAGTTTGTATTCCATAAGGATTCAATAAGTAATTGAATATTTATTATATTAAAGATCACAGATGCACGCTATTTAACTTTTTATTCTTTTTTTTAATTATACATCGTTTAGAGAGGAAATATTTTATTTGTTTATTTCTTATACTTATTCTTTGTTAAACATTTATATTAATCAATTTTAAGACTGTTAATAATAGTCATACAGTTGAATACATAAAATGAAATGTTTTAACTTTAATTTACAAAATAAACAGAATGAAATTTTATAACACTTGTTTTGATCTCTAAATAAAATTGAATTTTTTTTCGTGGACACACAGACCTATGTATTCTACAATTTATTTTGTATTATTCCATTTATTTGACGATTGTAATTTCATTTGTATTTACTGTTCATTTTAGGTGGGAAACACCATGGGCCAAAGTATTCCCGTTAAGACTTCTTTTACGTCTCGGAGCGCAATATCGTTATTATCCTTGCCCATTGGTGTCGGTTCGTTTTCGAAATGCATTATATTTTGAGATTGGACATACTGTCATGAAAGTATTAGCGGATTTTAGAAATTTCGGCTACACTTTGCCAGGAGTAAGGGGCTTAACAATTCATCTTAAAAATCGTACAACGGACGTTATGTTCCCTAGAAATCGATACGATCAAGTTATAAAAGGACTTCATAACTCGAATGATCACGTCTTAGCTTATGCCTCAAATTTTAGTATAACTGCGGATTCACATTTAGTTTGCATACAAACGAACACTGGTGATGAAAGCAGTTATCAAACGCAAGCAATAAACATTCACAATAAGCCAAGAACAGGTGGGTTTATAAGCAAAAAATTTCTGATGAGATATATAAAGAATATTGTTTTTCTATTACGTAGTAACCGGCGCCAGTTTTATCGTCATCAATGGTGCCCTAAAATCTTCTATGGGTCTTTCTGCCAAATCCAGTATTGTTGAGGATGGATTAATGGTAGAAATAATGCCAGAGAAAATGGAAGCTTTGAAAGCTGCTCTAAAAAATATGCAAGATTTTTCAATCGGTTGCGGACGCCAGGGAGCATTAGAACCGGACGAGACTGTAAACATAAAGTGGGTCGATAATGACACGTTGTTCAACTTGGGGTAAATTATTTCGATAAATTTTAATCATTACTTTTGATATTTTTACAAGCTTTTTGTCAATGTTTATTCTTTTGCTTCCTCTTTTCTTCCTTACTTTTCCTCACTCTTTTCCGTTTCTTATTTCCTTCTCTCTTACTTTTTTCTTTCGTCTTTTTACGCATATGCACTCTCCCATTACACACACGCACATACACATGCATATGCATATGCAAATGTACACGTACACGTACACGTGCACGCACGCACGCATGCGTACGCGCGCGTGCGAGATAAGAAATTTTTTAAATAAGAGTTGAGACTTAATAAGACTACATATGCAATATATTAATATATTTTATACGATATTGAATATTATCTTTTTCCTTGTCTCATTAAACATATTAAATCTATTTTTTCTTCTATTGTTAGTGTTAAAAGTCCTATTGATGGACAATTAATGGATGGTATACCATCTATAAGAGTGCATAATGGCATTGATTATAAAGGTGCAACCCGATTTATACGCTGGACAGAAGTATTTATTATAAAAGTATGTATTCGTTATAAAGAAATATCATTATTTTGAATATGTATATAAGCTAGATTAGTAAAACAATATTATTTCAAAAGTCAGATGATCATTCAAGTGGTGTGAATGATCCTGTGGATATAAATAAACTATCTGGCAGCATAGCGAAAGCAACATGTGCAGCATTAGTTAAGTTACTAGATCTTCTGGCAACAGCAGGTTTAACAAAGCTCGGTGTTCGAACAACAATTCATCCGGATAACGTAAATATAAATTGCTGGTTTATATATTCACTTTATTACATTAATAATATATTTTATTACATTAAGATTATATATTTAATAAATATTAAATATGTATATATAGGTGGGATATGAAGCTGGAAGTGAGGGTACAAAATTACCTCCAATATATATGAAAAGTTTAGACAATGAATTAATTCAAGTTTTACATAAAGCTGTGCAAAGCAGTCAGGATGCATATACAGTGCTTGAATTGATATTTTATGTGCTTGAAGATTAAAAATGATATATAACATTATTTTATGTGTTTTAATCGATGATGTCATCAGGATAACATTGAACGACTTTCATTCAGTACTCGGAAGATGTGCAATTGCATTGAATATCATAGTGCAGTGATTATATGATCTGTATGTTATTTTTTATGATATACCTTGTTTTATAATTCAGGATGTTATTCTCAAATGTCTATTTATTAAGATTGTGAATTAAATATTTTTAATTTTATCACAAAATATTCAACGATATGCGGAAAACTTATTACAAAACTTATAAATATGAATAAAGAATCGAAAACAAACAGTAATAGCGATATTCATGATAGGAACTTTCAATGTTTATTGTCTCGAAAATTTTACCTTGTATTTTTTGCTTATAAGATAATATACATAAGAATGAATGGTAATGTAACGCAAATATATATATATATATATATAT